AAAGTGCCCCATTATGATAACTGGGGACTTAACCAAAAATCCCTTAAAAAAGTCAAGGGATAAAACCACCAATTAATAAATTAAAAAAAGGCAACAAAGGAGTAAAATATTCAACTTGTCACTGAAGGGGTTGGAACTTCTGAAGTTGCAATGTCGATCTCACTTTCAGAAGCAGCTGTAGGCACGATAGCAATTTCTGAGGAAGTAGCGGCAGTTGGGCTTGAAGTGTTAAAGTCACCGAGGGAAGCAAGAGTCACGGGTACTTCAGCTTCCACGGACTGTATCAGTGAAGTTTCACCCTCGGGAGCTGGAATTGTAACATTTTCAACTTCAACAGAAGCGGCTCCTTCATTTAAAGGTTCCTCAGCCACGGGAGTTTCATCTACTGGTGAAGGAAAGTCAAGGGGTTGTTGAGTCATTGCAATGGTTTTCAAAACTTTAGCCAATTCTGATTCTAAATCAAAGTTTTCTTGACTGGCTTCAGTTAAGGCATCACGGCGGGAGTTTAAAAAGGCCCAGCTCACCTCTGTGTTAAAATTCTCCTCAAGAAGCTCATAATCCTTTTCCCACGAGGCAAGATCATTTTTCAACATTTGATTTTCAGCCAAAGTGGAATCAAAGGTAGCTTCAAGGGAAGCACGAGAATTCTCTAAGGCACGAACCTTATCAGAGAAAATTTGCAAGTCAGCCTGAGCCTGAGACAAGTTTTGAACTAGCTCTCCCGCGTACTCCTCTTTTTTGCTCAACAATACCTTCAGCTCTCTGATTTCTTCACTTGATTTAGATAACTGTTCTGAAAAAGAAGACTCGAGACGCTCTCTTTCTTTCTCAGCTTGACTCGAAGAAGCTTTTACAATCGCAAGCTCTGAAGTTAATGCCCTCACCTGTTGTTCCAGGTTATTCTTACTCTCTTGTAAATCCTCTATTGTTATTTGGGCACTATCAAATTGGCTCTTCCAATTAGCTGCTTCCAACTGAGAGTCACGAGCTTCCTTCTCTGAATCAAGAACAGCCTTTTCAGAGTCACGTGCCACCTTCTCTAGTAAGGAAATTCTGTTCATCAACTCTGTACCGATAAGGTTGGCCTGAAAACGATAAGGAAAGAAAAATTAGAATTCCGGAAAAATTCTGGTAAAAGTAAAGAAAGAAGGGTCATACCTTCAAAGTGGAATGAACTATGTCGTTCATCAGAGTCAGGCAACTGTGACTGTCCATTTTCTTTTTCTCAATATCCCCAATTAAGGGTTCAAGCCAAACATCTGCTCCGCCAGACTTCCTTAAAAGACTGCTATTAGCAGGAACCTCAAGTGTTACACTCCTCATAGCTATGCTTTTACTACTAGAACCCTCTTCTACATAATGAGTAGAAGAAGGGGGAACTATAGAAGGAGGAACGGTAGAAGAGGTGAAAATAGTAGTAGTCGAAGGAGTCGAAGCAGGTAAGGGAGCAGAAATTGACAAAGTTGGTAAGAAAACACTTGAGGTTGGAGGAGGAACAGAAGGAACAGAAACGGAAGATGAGAGAGGGACTTCATCTAAAACTGGACCTAATCCACCACTTTCGAAGCCCTCAATAAAGAGGCGATGAGTGGATTCAGGGGTGTCCCTTGGAATGGTCTCTTCATCAGAGGTAATGGTGACGAGATCGGAGATACGAGCAGGAGAGATCTCAGTTTCATCCTCAGAAACAATGCGCCTCCTAGTTCTAGGACGAGCTGTCAAAGAGGTATCATCGTCTTCATCGACGTCAGAATCCTCTTCAACCACTTTCCTCTTTGACAGCGTGGCTTCTGTTCTTTCCAAAGCAAGAGGAGTACCGGAAGAAGCTCGCAGAGTGATGGCTACTTCAACCGACATCCCTCGAATAGCAAATCCTGACAATAAGAAGGATAGAAAGTTAAAAGAGGGGAAAAGAATTTAACACATGAAAAGCAAAGAGGAATGTATACCGTGAGTTTTCACTTTCCAACCATGTTTGTTGGAAATATATTTCCAAGTTCGTGCCTCCATAGCAACGGCTTTCAAGATAGCATCTACCCAACCACAAAAATTAGGAACGGGTTCCACATTTCCCATGGTTGCTACAAAAAAGCAAAGGAATAATAATAAAGTTAGAAAAGAAGCTAAAAAAAATAAAAGCAGATACGGCAAGGAAGAAAATACTTACGAGCAAAGTTCCATTTCTCAGGAAAAGGAATATTTGATTCACCCACCAAATCAATTCTGGGAACAGCAACAAACCGGGTGTACCAGCCACGGTCGTTAGTATCTTCAGGGTTAACCAAAACCCTCTTACTTTTTGCAGTTAAGGTAAAAAAACCATTGCGGAATAGTTTGGGGTGACAAAGATGAATTAAATGAGGAAAGTAAAGTCAACAGCAGCTTTGGTTGACATATACTTCAAACAAGCTACTACTCTCCATATGAGAGGACCAACTTGAGCCAGACAAATTTTGAAAAAACGACAGAAGTCAAGAATGACAGGGTCAATAGCAGGAATAAATCCCAAAGTAAAGGGATAAGTGTAAACGAAAGAAAACCAACCCTATAAGAAGATATTCTTTGGTGTGGAGTAGGAATAACTATTTGGGTGTCACCTCTCCAACGGCATTCTCTTCGAACAATCTGAATTAAAGGTTCAGTAATTAAAGAGGGATATTTATCAGCTCTTTCTAATTTAATCACTTGGTCACGAAGGGATTCTTTGTCATGTTCGAAGGATAAATCCGTTGGCACAATTTCTTCAACCAGAGGCTCTTGGTTAGACTCAGAAGTTTCTTTGCCTTTAGAAGAAGACTTGTTAGAAAGAGAGCCTCTAGAGATATTGCCGGAACTAGAAGAAGGAATGATGGAACCAGAGGTACCACCACGAACCGACCCTGTACCACGAAGCACACCTCCTCTACCTCTTCTATATCTAGCAGGAGCATTGGGAAAACTATCAAGAATTGGGACTCTTTTAGGGTTAGGATTCGAAGACGACATAGTGAGAGGGTATGAATTGAAGAAGAAGTGAACAAGAGTTAATAGCAAGAAATTTGGTAAAAAGCTTGTGAGGAAGAAGGCAAAGGAAAAAGGGGGCAAGTTTATATATAAACTCAACCGGCGGTAATTAAAAAGTGTAATGATGGAAAGCCTATAATAAAGGCAACTATCACTTCGTGAATAGTGGAGTTAAAAAAAAAGAAGCCTTAGAAAAAGGCTGCAAAATCGCAGAACTAATGAGAAGACGACACGTATATGGTGCATTAAATAGAAGAGACAACTGAAGCGTTAGTACTGTCATAGCATTGATTATGGGAAAAATTCTCTTTTTAATGAAGATCCACTTCCCAAATATTTAATTGATAAATAAATGAAAAGTGGGGGGACTATCTGTATTGGGAAAAAACTGAATTTAAATAATTGAAGATGACGTGTCATGACACGTGGACCGGGTCAAACTAAGTCAA